AAAACGATTCACGAATTAACACCAAGAACATAAACACAAAACTTTCCAGCACATGTAATTCAAAATGATTCAAGATCTAAGATTAAGAAACAAGTTTATAGCAACAATTTTGCATTTACAATTGCAAAACATATGGATCTAATTAAAAATTTCAGCAAGAACATGAAGAACACAAGATGAAATGATGCAAAGACTTGCAACACAAGATCTAAACATTAGAACAATCTAATAATGACTTATGAATTCTAAACCGATTAAAACACTTATCTAATACTAGGAAACAAAATAACCGAATCCGATTTGGCAAAGAATTAAGAACACAAAATTTGAAATCTTGAATTTGAATGAACAAATTTGGCTCCAAAAATTGAAACTCAACCGATCTAAAATATAATGGCAAGGTTTTGATCGGAATTGAATGTAGATCAAGGATCTACAATCGGATTCTCAAAATTCATTGTAGATCAAAGTAGATCTAAGAAATGATTTCAAATGAATTTTGGCGGGAAAATTTGAAAGTTGTCCAATCATGAAAATGATTACAAGGTTTTGATCAGAAATCAACATAGATCAAGGATCTACAATTGGATTTTCAAAATTCAAAATAGATTTAAGTGGATCTAAGTTTTGACGCCAAAAATGAAATTAAAAAAAAAGATGATCAACCAATAGATCTATATGAAGGAGAAGGTGTAGAAGAAGAATATGGAATTGGATTTAAAAAAAGAAAATCAAGAAAACAAAGTATATCTAGAATTTTGTTACCTTTAGGAGCAAGCTCTAGATACCAAATGATGTAGGAATTGCTTCATTCCTTTGATTGTGCGGATCGTTGTTGTTTACAATTCTGAACACTAGCAAATGCACTAGGAATTGCAACAAGTAATGAGTAATTTTTAAGATCAGAATATCGTCTCCACAGGAAATTAAGAAATTAATTATCACTTCACAAAACTATAACCATTTGAGTGATACGAATTTGGAAGATCTATAACATTCAAAAGTCAAGAACAAGCACAATTAAAAAGTAAGAAACTTGCAGTAAAAACAGAGTATGAAAGTTGTGATGAAATAAGATAAGAATGAAGAATAGTTAAGAATTTTTCACAAGAATGTCAATATCAATTCAATCATGCCTCTGAATATTCAAGTAATTGGTTAATTGCCAATCAGTTTCTCTTATTAATAGTCAAAGTTTAATTCCTTAAATCATTAACCCTAACAAGCAACTAAACCCCCCTAATCCCTTAGGTGAAGTTCAATTTCAAGTTACATTAAGACTTAGAACCGTAGGATTGCAATATTAGGTTTTCTTATCCCTAAGAAATTCCCAATTCTGATTGTCTAACTCATATCAGAGAAACAAATCCAACTTCCATTGGTAAATGTTCCTCTTTGATTAACCATATGAATTTCCATTCACAAAGTGCAATAACAGCAGAATTAACAATTCAATTAATCCAAAAACTCAAATTTCAGAAGCAAATATCGAATCAATACATCAATTCAAGTTCCATAAACTCCTAACTATGGAGAATTAAGCAAATATTGTAACAGAGAAAGAGAAAGAAGGAGAAGAAGAGAAGAATTGCAGAGAAGTCATCTCCATGAGCTCCAATCCAATGCCTCTTCTTGGAGCTTTGAAATTTGATCCCAATCCTCTCTCTCAACGAGAATCTAACAGAAAAAATAGAAAATGAACAAAAAACCCCAAGTTCTGAGCTTAAAACATGTATTTATAGAAATCCCGATTCTGTACGTTATCACTCTTGCTGATAAGAGTGGCCACGCAGAAGCTTATGTGGTTTCTGGAAACTGAAACTATCACTTTCGCTGCTAAGAGTTGCAACGCAGGAGGTTGAGTAGTTGCACGTGATCACTTTCGAAAGCAAGAGTGAACACGCACAACTTGCCTTGATTCACTCCTCTCTGGAACATCTACTTTCGCTGGTAAGAGTGTTAACACAGAGCTCGCTGAAATTTTGCCTTCTCTGGAACACTCACTTTCGCCAGCAAGAGTATTAACGTAGAGCTCATTCTTCTGAGTAACTCTTTGGAACACTCACTTTTACTGATAAGAGTGACCACGCCCAGACTCTTTTCTTCTTTTAAGCTCTGGAACGATCACTTTCACTGGAAAAAGTGTTAACGTCCAGTGTGTATTCCTCTTTGATGTCTGGACTGATCACTTTCACTGACAATAGTGATCACGCCCAGTTTGCATTCTATTGTTCTTGTGTTTTGGAGTCCAGAATTGCTATTCTTTCTCTTCCTTTCCATTGATCTTCCATTTCCATGACTTTTGCTCAGATTATTCCTACAAAAATAAGATTAATTTCTTAAGATCTAAGCATAAATTTCACAAATGCTAAAATAACTACATATTAAAAGAAAACTTTCAATGATTCTATTTTTTTGAATTTTTCTGCTTTTCTTATATATTTTCCTTATCAAATGGGTTAGAAATACACTAAAATATTAGTAAAAATATGGATTCATCAATCGTTCCTAGAGAAACACCAATCACTGATCCTTGATTCCATGATAGACCTTCAATCTTTGGCCATTAACCTTGAATTCTCTCCCTATCTTTTGATCCTCAATTAGAATTGCTCCAAAGGGAGATGTTTCCTTGATCAGAAAAGGTCCAGACCATCTTGATTTCAGTTTCCCTAGAAATAATTTCAATCTGGAATTAAACAACAGCACTTGTTGTCCAGGTCTGAATTTTCTTTGCAAAATGAATTTGTCATGAATTCTCTTGGTTCTTTCTTTGTACAACTTTGCATTCTCATAAGCTAGCTGTCTGAATTCCTCCAATTCATGTAGTTGTAGAATTCTCTTCTTTCCAGCATTTGGTAAATCAAAGTTCAGCCACTTAGTAGTCCAATAAGCTCTGTGCTCCAACTCCAAAGGTAAGTGACATGCCTTTCCAAAGACTAATTGGTATGGTGACATCCTAATTAGAGTTTTAAAAGCAGTCATGTATGCCTATAGGGAGTCATCCAGTTTCTTTGACCAGTCTTTTCTTGAACTACTCACTACTTTCTCTAAAATCTGCTTGATTTCTCTGTTTGACACTTCCACTTGTCCACTTGGTATGGAGTAGCAACCTTGTGTTTCACACCATACTTCATTAATACTGTTTCAAGGTGTTTCTCAATTTCCATCATTTGTTCTATTTTACAAATCTCAGAATTTGTCTTTCCTGCAGCTATGGTTTCTCTCAACACAGAATTTTCATCAAACTCATTAATAGGATAGTGTGTAATAATAGAATCCAAAATATCTACTCTTATACATGAATTATCTTCAACTAGATATTTTAATGATTCAAACACATTAAACACTACCTTCTCATCTTGAACTCGAAGCATAAGTTCTCCTTTCTGCACATCTGTTAAAGCTCTCCTTGTTGCAAGAAATGGCCTTCCTAGGATCAAAGGTATGTTTGCATCCACCTCTATGTCCAGAATTACAAAATCTGCAAGAAAATTGAACTTATCAACTTTAACCAATAAATCTTCAACAACTCCATATGGATAAGTGTATGATCTATCAGCTAGCTGCAGTGTGATGTTGGTGGGTTTTACTTCTTCTATGCCTAGTTTCTTCATGATAGCTAAAGGCATCAAGTTTATGCTTGCTCCCAAGTCACACATTGCTCTTCCAACAGTGCACTGTCCTATTTCACATGCAATGCTAAATGATCCTGGATCTTTTAGTTTTGAGGAAGCTTTTTCTTGAGAAGGGCACTGCATTCCTCTGTCAAGGGTACTTTCTTGTCGTGCTCTAGCTTTCTTTTTCTGGAGAGTAGTTCTTTCATAAATTTTGCATATGAAGGCATCTGCTCCAAGGCTTCTACAAAAGGTATGTTAATCTGTAATTTCTTAAAAACATTAAGAAACCTTTCAAATTGTTCTTCCTGTGTAGGATGAGGATAAGGCAGCCTCTTGTATTTTTCTGGATCTATTAGCTTGTAAGCATCTTCAAAGAGTTATTTCTTTGTCTTCCTTTCAGAATTTGTAGGAGCTTCCACTTTTTCTTCTGATTGCTCTTTCTTTAATAATTTGAAGTTTCCTTGTTGTAGATCTTGTTCAATTCTCCTTTCTTCTGCTGCATCATTAACTTTCTTTTCTGCAGGTTTTGGACTTGTAACTACAACTCCACTCCTTGTAGTGATGGCTTGACATTGCTCCTTAGGATTGATCACTATATTGCTTGGAAATCTTCCTTCATCCCATTTGGATAATTGTTCAGCTAACTGTCCAATTTAGGTTTCCAACTTCTTCATAGAAACTTCTTGATTCTTGAAGCTTGTTTGGGTCACCTTCATAAACTGCAACATGGTTTCCTCCATCTCAGTCAACCTTTCATTCATAGGTTTGGAAAATTTCTGAGCTCCTTAAGGTTAAGTGGATGGATTCCTCTGAAAATAAGACTGTTGTGTTGCTGGACCTGCATTAGAAAAAGGTAAATTGGAGTTAGAAGTCTTGGCAGCAGAATATTGATTATTTCAATTAGAATACTGCTAACTTCTATTATTCAAAAATTGAAATCCAGGAGGATATGAGGGTTGTTGTCTCTGAAAATTGTTCATATAATTCACTTGTTCCTGTGATTCACTTGTAGATGCCTCACATGCACCATTGGCATGATTTCCTCCACATAAATCACAGTTTAGCTGACTGGTAGACATACTCCCTACTTGAAGATTGTTGATTTGTTGAGTTAGGGCAGCTATTTGTTCTGAAAACATCTGATTTTGTAGCTGGTTCTATGCAAGAAAGGTTTCCAAAACCTTAGCTTCATAACCAGAGTTTATTCCTTGATTTTTTGAGTTTGAATTCTAGTACATTGATGATGCCATCATTTCAATGATTCTCTGGGCTTCTTCTAAAGATTTTGTATTTAAGGAACCTCCAGCAGCAGCATCAACCATTGTTCTTGTTGATGTATTCATTCCATTATAGAAGGTTTCCAATTGCATCCAATCTGGAATACAATGATGTGACACCTCCTTAGCAGCTCCTTGTATCTTTCCCAAGCTTCATACAATGACTCTCCTTCCTGCTGCACAAAAGATGTAATTTCTCTTCTCAGCTTGGCAGCTTTGGATAGAGAAAAATACTTGGTTAGAAATTTATTCACTAGCTTTGTCCAAGTTGTGATGCTTCCTTGTGGTTGAGCTTGTAACCAGCATTTGGCTCTATCTCTCAAGGAAAAGGGAAATAATCCCAGTCTGATGGCTTCTTCACTAACCCCGTTCATTCTTATGGTATCACATAACTGCAAAAAGTTTGAAATATGTAGGTTAGGGTCATCAGAATTTCCACCAAAAAACTGATCCTGTTGGACTAAGTGTAATAGGGCAGGTTTAATCTCAAAATGGTTAGCTTGGATAGTTGGCCTAATTATAGAAGAATTAAAACCTTACATGTTAAGAATTGCATAGTCCCCTAATGTTCTAATTCTATTTTGCTCAGCCATCTCTATTTATGGATTTGGTTGTCTCAAAGGTGTAGGTGTTCTTTTTACTCTAGGAGTATTCTAAATTTCTGGAGAATAGACAACTTGTACTTCACTATCACTTCCTATGAATTTTTCTACTCTATCCTCTCTTCTTAAGGTTATGTCTATGTCAGGATCAAATACCAGAATTGATTTATTTTTGTTTTTACCACGCATATACAAATCAAAATGAACAAAATTAAATTACAACTCGATATTCAGAAATGCACAACAAAGATTATGCAGAAGATATCAGCAAAAACATATAAAATTCAAGTCTAGCAACTGCAGAATTATGCAAAATTCAATAGAAAATTATGTAGAAAAATGCAAAAAACAGCATAAAATAGTGCAAAAAACTACACAAAATGCAGAAAAGAAAATCATGCAGAAAAACTTAGAAGCAAAACAACAAAAATAAATGCTCAATCTAGCTACCTCTCTACTACTAATGATATTGAAACATAAATTTCCCGGCAATGGCGCCAAAAACTTGTTTACAATTCTGAACACTAGCAAGTGCACTACGAATTGCAACAAGTAATGAGTAATTTTTAAGATCAAAATATCGTTTCCACATGGAATTAGGAAATCAATTATCACTTCACAGAACTATAACCATTTGAGTCATACGAATTTGGAAGATTTATAACATTCAGAAGTCAAGAACAAGCACAATTAAAAAGTAAGAAACTTGCAGTAAAAACAGAATATGAAAGTTGTGATAAAATGAGATGGGAATGAAGAATAGTTAGGAATTTATTTCACAAGAATGTCAATATCAATTCAATCATGCCTCTGAATATTCAAGTAATTGGTTAATTGCCAATCAGTTTCTCTTATTAATAGTCAATGTTTAATTCCTTAAATCATTGACCCTAACAAGCAACTAAACCCCCCTAATCCCTTAGGTGAAGTTCAATTTCAAGTTGTATTAAGACTTAGAACCGTAGGATTGCAGTATAAGGTCTCCTTATCCTTAAGAAATCCTTAATTTTGATTGCTAACTCAGATTAGAGAAGCAAATCCAACTTTCTTTGGTAAATGTTCCTCTTTGATTAACCATACGAATTTCCATTCACAAAGTCTAATAACAGCAGAATTAACAATTTAATTAATCCAAAAACTCAAATTTCAGAAGCAAATATCGAATCAATACATCAATTCAAGTTCCACAAACTCCTAACTATGGAGAATTAAGCAAACATTGTAACAGAGAAAAAGAAAGAAGGAGAAGAAGAGAAGAATTGCAGAGAAGTCATCTCCACGAGCTCCAATCCAATGCCTCTTTTTGGAGCTTCGAAATTCGACCCCAATCCTCTCTTTCACTCTCTCTCAACGAGAATCTAACAGAAAAAATGGAAAATGAACAAAAAGCCCCGAGTTTTGAGCTTAAAACATGTATTTATAGAAATCCCGATTCTATGTGTTATCACTCTTGCTGATAAGAGTGGCCACGTAGAAGCTCATGTGATTTCTAGAAACTGAAACTATCACTTTCACTGCTAAGAGTTGCAACGCAGGAGGTTGAGTAGTTGCGCGTGATCACTTTCGAGAGCAAGAGTGACCACGCACAACTTGCCTTGGTTCACACATTTCTGGAACATCCACTTTCGCTGGTAAGAGTGTTAACGCAGAGCTCACTGAAATTTTGCCTTCTCTGGAACACTCACTTTCGCCAGCAAGAGTGTTAACACAGAGCTTGTTCTTCTGAGTAACTCTCTGGAACACTCACTTTCGCTGGTAAGAGTGACCACGACCAGACTCTTTTCTTCTTTTAGGCTCTGGAACGATCACTTTCACTGGGAAAAGTGTTAACGCCCAGTGTGTATTCCTCTTTGACAATAGTGATTACGCCCAGCTTGCATTCCATTGTTCTTATGTTTTCGAGTCCAAAATTGCTATTTTTCCTCTTCCTTTTCATTGATCTTCCATTTCCATGACTTTTGCTCAGATTATTCCTATAAAAACAAGATTAATTTCTTAAGATCTAAGCAGAAATTCCACAAATGCTAAAATAACTACATATTAAAAGAAAACTTTCAATCATTGAATTTTTCTGAATTTTTCTGCTTTTCTTATATATTTTCCTTATCAAATGGGTTAGAAATACACTAAAATATTAGTAAAAATATGGATTCATCAATCGTTCCTCGAGAAACACCAATCACTGATCCTTGATTCCTTGATGAAAAATACAATCGGACAAGAAATTTCAAAGAAAAAGTGGAAGAAGAATGAGATGGATATTGGCGCCACTCTCAAATGGGAGATAAGTCATAAGATCTTCATCATGATGGAAGGATCCACCAATAAGAAGTAAGCTTAAGGTCTCTACCAAGATCACTTGAGAGAAAAATGAGTTTCTCAAAACTCACTAGATTTTTTCAAATTTGAAAAAATGAACCAAAGTTACTAAAATACAAAGAAAAAGTGCCTTATATAGGCAACAAATTACACTAGCTATTGGGCTATTCCCAACTACACAAGAAGGCAAAAGTCCAAGTTACAAAAATACACTATGAAAAGTAAGAATCATGAATGATACAAGAGAAATAGAAATAGGTCTTCAAAGTGTGGCATTCTATGGACTTGGGCCCAAGGTGACTTACTAGGCCCATAAGCTTGCCTAAGGCTTCTTAACCCTTGACCTAGTCATAGGGCCTTGAAGTCCCTCCAAAGTATCCTCTACTTAGCTCAAGCTCTCCAAGCTAGTGAGGTCCTCATCAGAAGGTATCTAATTAGAACTTTGTTACTAGAATGATTAGTCAACTTAAACCTACCTACCAGTCTCAAAATATAAGCTTTAGCAAACCAAGTCAGTTGAATGAGATTTTGGTTATGCATGGCAACATAGGCAAAGTGTTCGTCCAACCTAGCCAACTTCAAGCTACTTCCCATAAATGCATCACTAAGTGGTCTAATATATCCCAAGCAAGTTCTTAACAATCTATGCACTATCACCTCCTATAGGGGCAATAACTGGCCTTCCAATAATATGAAGACTCCTCTGAATAGTGATGTCTTAAAGATTTATAATATACTGTCCAAGAGGCATGGGGAAGGTATAGGTTTCTGGCCTCCATCTTTCTACCAAAGATGTAATTAGATATCAGTCAATAGGAAAGCTTGCTAATTGTGCAACTTTGGCAAATCTAGCTAATGTCAAATGAGGAAATATTTCTACTAGAACTCCCTCTATTCCAGTAGGAATAAAGTGACTCCTTCTAACTCTCAAAATTGAATGGTCATGCCCATCTCAAATGTACTTCAATATTGAATAGACTAATACCACAATAACAAACCATCTTCGTGGTTGAGATTTAACACCCTAATACAAGACGAAGATGATGCCATTTGAAATAAGTTTAAAAATAATTATACTTAAACTCTCAATTTAAAATAAAATAAATTTAAATTTACATTAAACACAAATAAAACTATCAATTGTTTATCAAACATTAACCAATTTTCATGACAAATATTTTAAGAAAACAAATTACGAATTTATTTGCACAATTTTTTTTTATCAATTATCACAGTTATATATCATTTCAACTATTTCAAGTTACTTTCTTAGTGAAGATATAACAAAAATAACATATTTTATCTATTTACCGATAATTAAATATTATACTACATATAATATTTAATATTTTACATGTTTTGATTATATGGTTACACATATTATTTTATTTTATTTATATATTAACAATTAACTTATACATTGATACGGTAACCTACCATAATACTTACAAATTTATTAATAAAAATTTATATAACATATTATACTTGTTTTATAAATTTAAAAATATGCATTAACTTTGTTTTTTTTTTATTTTTTATTTTTGCTATATAAGGGGTTAAAAAGTCCAAAAACAAAACAAAGTTAATGTCCCATGTAACACCAAAGTTTAATTTTTTAAATAAATAAATTCTGCAAAATTAGGAATAATAAAAAAATTTATTCAAATGATTCCCAAAGCATAGTTCAATAAAATGTTTCAAAATAAGGATGAATTACAATTTGAATCAATAATTGCTATAGGACTTAAATAATACATCAAGTTTTTAAAATAAATTTCTAAGTCCTATAGCAGTTTCATCCATCCCTTCATTGAGCCTTGTGTTGATCGTCTTGCTCACTTAAAAAATAAATGTAAATTTGAGTATTTTACACTATCACATATAAGTACAGAAACTCACCTTGCACATTCTACAAATTTACTGCCATAACTCAATCATGCATCAAACAGGTATAAAATAATAATCTCAACATTTCATTCTCATTCACACACACAGGTGCGCTCATTGCACCATCAGTCATTTCACACGCACACGTATGTTTACTGTACGTTAGCCACACTCACTAGGCACTGTGGTCACAGATTCCTGATGCCCTCAACCTCAGGGACTTACTCAGTTTCACACTATGGATGGTCGCCAGATAATTCCGCTCTCACAGATACAACGTGTGCGGTCACGAGCCGCTTGGCAAAGTTGTTAGTCAAAGGCCGAGTCAGGAGGAGAGCATGTGGCCTGTGGTGCACCCACAGTCACTGTTGGTGTCACCATCACCCTCTCTTCCCCAAGGT